CTTTGCTTCTCCTCTCTGGAGTGATTTGTTTAGACATAAACATCCCAGATAAATCTAAATTTATCTGATGATACTTCTTAACCATTGTTCTCAGTAAATTTTATCAACTTGCATTATTCTTCCTCAACCAATGACTTACTCAAGGCCAAGTATGAACAGCATATTTTTTTTTAGAGGTTTTTTGTTTTTTTTTTTTTTTGACCTTAGGGCATGTGCACTCACAGGAGACACACACACACACACACACACACACACACACACACACAGCAGTGTTAAACATGAGTCAAGTTGGAGCCAGCCCGGCATGGTAATTAAGGCAACTAGAAACATTGATGACTATGCAGTTCAAGTTTCAGACTCAGTGGCTTGAAAACATTCTGGGACAATATGCATGTGTGCCCAAAATCCCAAAAGGAGGGAGAAATGGAGGAGAAGGGATTGGGGTATGGCTATACCCCATAGTGAGTTCTTTCTCATTTTCTCACTCTTTCTCTTTCATGCTCACTTGCTCTCTCTCTCTCTATCTCTCACTCTCTCTCTCTCCCCCTCATGCACCATCTGGCAAATTTTTTAAAAGTGAGTCAGGTTCATATGTATTAAAATGGACTTTTTTTTAGAGATATTTTTGCTATAGGATGCATGCACTCACTGGAGACATAGAGAGAGACAGAGAGACAGAAAGCAAGAAATCATTCCCAGAGGGGATGGCCACGCCACAATCCCTTCTCCACTCTCCTCTCAGGATCTTGGGCATACACACACATGTGCCCAGTGTGAGCTTAAGACACCAGGTCCAGGACTTGAACTGCAGTCGACTACATGGGAGTCCAGTGATACAACCATTATACTATCTGTTGATCTCTAAAATAGACTTTTTTTTTTAACTAATAAATGAAAGTTTTAAAGTGCTATGTATAAAATGATGACATTTATTTCAGTCAGTCAAAAAATAGCTCTATATCTTCTTGATTAATGTATCTATATATAAATACGTATCAAAAACTCTGTATGGGTAACTGAAAAGACAGAAGAGGTGTGTATAATTTGAAAAGTTGGTGAACAGAGACTTTCTTATCTGAAAAGTTAAATTTTGCAGGAAGAATATTTATGCTTTACTCACATTGCTAAAACTAAACAATAAACTAAAAGATTGAGTACTATCATGTTTTCAAAGAAAACAGATTGCTCCAATTCAGTACTATGAAGTCACAATGGACCCTACTTGGAAAAGGGTCCATTTCCTACTTGGAAAAGAGGGTGGTGTATCCATTTTATATTCATTCTCGAAGACTGAAGATGTCCTTGAGAGTAGCAGGAAAACTTTCCTACTAATTAGGCAATTAGTAGGAAAACTAATTAGACAATTATAGTTTTTTAAAAAGTCAGAGAATCAGGGACAAAATATTTTTTCATAAAGTGTCTTGTCTCATGATATATAACTTCTGTGAAAGCCTCCTTACTCTGGTCTCACACAACTTGACTTCTTCCAAAACATGAAACATGTCTTAATCCTTCAACATCAACCATTTACATGATGGGTATTTGAACTCTGTAACTTGTTGATATGTCCAATATCTTCAGTCCAAAGGAGAAACACTGTCACTTTACAGATACCTTGGATTTCAAATATATCAGCAGATTCAGGCTTGACTCTTAGTATTTGATTTTTTTTATTTGAATTTCTTAAACTACTTTCCTTCATCCTTTAATTTCTACTAAATAATTTCTTCCTTTCTCTAAATAATTCGGTGATGAAACCGAGCATATAACCAAGGCAGGTATTTCCTTCAGCATCACATTTCCAGTGCCATAGCTGCTCAGGGAGTAAGTATCCACTCAGAACCTGCCATCACTGAACAGAAAATAGATCTGTCACCACCATCTCTTTACAAACCACTTTCGCTGTTCATTCTACACTCACATAGACTTTCTTTGCTTCTCCTCTCTGGAGTGATTTGTTTAGACATAAACATCCCAGATAAATCTAAATTTATCTGATGATACTTCTTAACCATTGTTCTCAGTAAATTTTATCAACTTGCATTATTCTTCCTCAACCAATGACTTACTCAAGGCCAAGTATGAACAGCATATTTTTTTTTAGAGGTTTTTTGTTTTTTTTTTTTTTTTGACCTTAGGGCATGTGCACTCACAGGAGAAAGACAAAGACAATGAGAGGGAAAGTGAGAAATCACTCCCCAGAGGGATGGTCATGACACAATCCTTTTTCTTCCATTCTCCTCCTGGGGTCTTGGGCACATACCCACATGTGCCTGGTATGATTTTCAAGCCACCAAATCTGGGACTTGAACCACGGTCGGCCATGTGGGACTCTAGCATCTGCTGGCCCCACAAACAGCATATTTTTCACAACAGTCAATCCTGATTATCACACCTGAAATTGCTCAGTCTTGCTTCATATCTCCACTGGTTTCTACACCTTTGGTAGCATTTAACACCCTCTGTCTTAAATGTACAGGCCCCTCACTAATCATGGCTGATCCAACCTGTTTCGCCCCTTATTTCACTATCCTATATATGTATTTCTCCCAAGAATGCACCTTGACTGAAAAATAGACCTTCTGGAGGAATGTCTGAGGAAAGACATTAAGGAGAAAAATAGAGAGGCAAGGCATTTATGGGACAAAGAAATGGGTTATTATCTGTTGAAGATAACATGTAGAACATTCTCAACTGGACTGGCGAGAAATGTACACATGCTGGAATATTCCCTCTACGAGCTAAGTGACATATGTGATTGAATGTATAAAAGAAATTGAAATAAAAAATATATTTTATAAAAATAGACCTTCCAAGATATTGGACATATTGGAAAGATATTGGAAAGTATGGACATATTTTTGCATAGAATAATACATCATGACTCCCCCGACAACCTAATAGCAGAAGACCATTCTTGGATTAAGGATTTATATATGGCTGAATTCCTCATCCAACACTCTGTGCAAAGATTGAGATGGTTACATCTGTGTTCCCCCTGGGAAGTATACTCTTTGTGAAAACAGATCACGTCTGATTCTTCTTTGGTCCTCCTACTATATATAATAACATGGTTGGCCATGTGGGAGTGTCCAGTGCCTCAACCACCATGCCACCTGCTGGTCCCCATGTTTGAGAATTTTTATGACAAAAAGTTTGAGTTCTTTTTCTTTTCTTTTTTTAAGTTTAGAAAAGTAAACTTAACAATTTTCCTGCAAAATGATATCATCTGATTTTCCTAACTGGTATATCTCTAGACTTCCCATACAATTAGGTCATCCTACAAACTATTGTGAGTGTTTCCTTCTGAAATACTTTCTACTCTACAACACTTATGCTTAAAAAGGAACCTGCTTTGCTACTTGAGGATAAAGTTTGCATTATCAAAAATCCCTCCACAAGGCCCAGCCTTAGTGGCACAAGTAGTAGGGCACCACTACAGTATGGCTAGCACCTCACAGGTTCAGTTCCTGACCCATCCTAACAGACCTGGCATATGTCATGTGTGTAGTGCTAGTTAACTGGGAAGCAGGGACAGGAAGAGGGCAATGTGGGAGACTCTGTCCAAAATACCTTTCTTTCTCTCCCTCTTACTCCCATGCACACACATGCTTGAAATACTTTTCTCCTCTCTCGCGCTCATTAATAATAATAATAATGAAATCCATCCACAATCAGGCCCGACAACTTCACATTCATCACCCACATAATCTCTACATGAATCTTGCACTTCGGTCAAAGTAGTCTCACGAGCCCATGAATACAATTTTGCACATAGTACCCCTGCTCAAGCCATTCTCCTGCCTACCACTCTCTTCTCCACTTATCTAAATCCCACCTATCTTTAAAAAGTAAGATAAAACCTTCCTTATGAAGCCCCCCCCCCATTTCCTCCCAAGGTAAATACAAGGTTAGTCAGAGCAGGAATCATGTGTCTTATCACAATGCCTGGAAGCCTTCCCCATGCCATCAAGGTTTCAATGGAAAGGTGTGAATTTAAATGAATATTTGAAATAAAGACTTGCACAGAATACGAATTTTAGGGGAAAACTAAAGATAAACAAATACCCATGTTAAAGAAATTTTAAACTAAGAATTAGAATTTGATACACTTGAACTTCAGATAGCAGTACTATATTTAACTTACTTTGTCGCTCTGTGCAACCCATTTACAGTATCCTAGCATTTGTTTCTAAAATGTAAAATGAAGGGCTAGTTTCCCCACTTTTTAAAGTGTAGTTACCATACTTGCTTCTGAAAAAAATCTCCTAAGTGCTTGCACCCTAGCAGAGGTACCATCTCTCTCCATGTAGTAAAGTTGCCATCCCATAACTTGGAGCTACCTTGCCTAGGGCATATAATTTAGAGGCAGAAATATTTTCTATCAAAGATTATGTCCTTGTCCAGAAACCGCCAAGGTTTCCCAGAGCACGGAAGCAGAGACTCACTGGACAGAAAGCACATTAAGGAGTAAACAGGATGAGGTTAGATATTAGGAGAACGAACTCTTTGTCTTATCCTAGGAAGAGAGCCCTGCTCTCTGAACCAGCCTCATGTATCTAGGAAGGTCATGACTCAAAGGGTCCTTCAGGCTGGAAGTGGCGATAACCCTAAGAAGTCGGTGAAGTCTGCACGGTTCACCCTCACTTTGGTGCCCATGAGTGCTCCGCTGGAAGAGTTGGGCATGAATCAGCTGCGCTCACCACTAGTACTCGATGGACTCGGGACAGCTCTTACCCAAGAGAACACCATTAGCACTTGAGTGGGGAGGACAAGTGCCTGTTCTGGAGCTTTGCTTTTGGATGGGGAGGCTGGTTTCATAAGTGAGCCCAGCACAGGAGTGTTGGCCCAGTTGGAGGAGCTGCAGAAGCTAAGCACGGGACCTTGAGATGAGTGAGCAGGGCTCGTAGAAACCCAACACTGGCCAGAAGGAGGAAAGCAAGAAGCGGTGGTTAATTTTCCCTGCACTGGCCCAGCAGCACCAGGGTTCTGGCAGTTACCTGAGGTTTCTTCACCTTAATGATCCAGGTGGGTGGGACAATAACAGCAGCATGAGCCCCCAGGGAGCAGGGTTCCTCAATGTGATGCAGCATGAAGCAGGTCACCTTATTGTGAAACTGAAGAAAAAAATAGGACAGTAAACAATTCTGGGCAGAGAGTAATGCTGCCGCAAGAAGGAATAAATATACACACACACACACACACACACACACACACATACGCATGAGCGCGCAACTCAGGTACACACTCAGGACACATCACTACCCAATTGGCCCAGGAGATTAGAGACCAGGTTTTAAATGTATTCCAGTTTACAAACTTTATGGTTGTTGTTGGTTTTTTTGTTTTGTTTTGTTTTGTTTTTTAATATAAATATATATAACTTTTTGCTCTAGGGCGCATGTGCTCGCTGGAGAGAGAGAGACAAGACAGTAAGAGGGCAAGTGAGAAATCACCCCCCAGAGGAGAGGTCCATGCCACAATCCCTTCTCCTCCATTCTCCTACCAGGATCTTGGGCATGCACGCACACACACCCAGCACGAATTTCATGTCACCAACTCCTGGACTCAAACTGTGGTTGGCCATATGGGAGTCCAGCAACATAACCGCTATGCCCGCTTCTGACCCCAGCTTAAGAACTTTTAGAAATTATTAACAAGAGACTAATCTCATAGGACAAAGCCTGCTAAACCTTTCTAACCATATAATGGGATATTTCTATAAAGATGCTAGAGTCTTGGAGGATTCTGTCAATCCCAACTATGCACGTATTTCCCTGACGTGCTCTGATCACAGACTTGGTTGATTTGGTATAATGTCAAAAAGGAAATCAAGACAAGTAGAAAGGCAATGCCTACCATCTGCTCCTCCTTTTTCACAAACTTAATTCCTCTCTGGTCATCTTCGCAGTTTAGGAAAGCCAAGGAGAAGCACCATGTCTCTACTAGAGAGTTGCTCATCTCAGAGGTAACAAAGTACAAAAAGATTGCTTTTGTTGGGTTTATCTGGGGCCACTAAAAAATGGCCCAATTTCACTAGACAAGTCTAGAGTGCTTTTTTGTTTATTTTGAGAGGAAGGAAGTAAACATAAACAAATGAGCATAACAATATTTTAGCACTAAGGACTTAACTCTACACTCACACTGTGACACTTGGATGGATAACCTTAGGCCAATTACATTTTCAGTCACCTTCTACATGACTGGAAAGTGACAGTTATGTGCAGTAACATGTATTTCCTAATAAACATACAATCAACCTCAAGTAATAATTATGTGCCCTAAATTTTCATCATAGTGATTTTAAAAAAAAATTTAACATCAGTTTCTGCTTGGATTATACTTAATATAACCATATAATTTATCATTTTAACTGGAACAATTTTATGAGTGAAAGGGACCATTGATAATAACTATGTTGGAACAAGAGACATAAATTAGGACCGTCTCAGGAAAACTGGCAAATATGGCCACCCTAATTATATTATGTAACATCAGAGAGATTTTGTTCTCATTGCTGCCCATATTCAAGATCTGCCATGACCCAGTGGCTAATTAATAATCAATTAATTAAGTACAAAATACTAACTGATAAAACAATAATTCTCTCTGTCACCAGTTTTGTGTGATCTGCAAGTAGTTAAATACACCAAAGGCGTGCTATTTGAGTATCTTCTTTAAAACTTGACCTTTTTTTTTCTTTCTTAGCAATTCAATAAACCTTCAAGTGCACGGTCATTGCATTTCTAAAATGAGAGCAATCTCAATCTCAGAGACCGCCTATGTCAACTCTCTCAATTGCACTTGAGTGATCTGCAATCTAGAGACTGAGGAGTGACCAAAACTGTACAGCTTTTAAATGACAAAATCAGGACCTGCACCCAGGAAACCTAATTCCAAACCTAGTGCTTTTCTTCCTACTTCACTGAGGGTCACTCATTTATTTGCTTGACATCAAATGTCTTAGAAGGGATGACCTGCGGTGTTAAAATGTTTCACCAATGTAATTTGTGTTAAAATGTTTTTTATGTATTTTCCTTGCAAAATCCACTTCTGCAAAATTCAAAGACATGTGGAGCTAACTGGAACTCTGCTACAATAGCCAAGTGAAAGTTCAGCCTTTGTAGTGATTCGACTGAAATGAAAAGAGAGCCAACATGTTCACCGAGAGGCATTTAGTTTGCGCATTAGCTGAGCCTGAATAAACCACCTCCCCACAGTCTGGAAGATACTTGGCACAGAAGCAGGAGCACCTGAGCATGTTACCCTGATGCCGACCCCCCGGTGGCAGAAAAGATCAGGAAATCCAGCACCAAGGGTATCCTTAGGGACACCTGGACATGGGATCTGCTTCTTCCTGAAGATACTGCCTGTTGGTATAGAGTTTAACTCAGGAACCAGGATGGCCTTATATTTGCACACGTGTTCATGATCAGCATGACTATTATGTGATGACTAACTGAATGAAGATGGAAACACCAAGAATTAAAATATGGCAGGATGGTGACACTGCTAGCACTGAGCTTTCTCTGCAGGTTGACTGTCAATGAGGGGACTATATATTCCCCTATAGCCACTCAACAAAGAGGTAGGCTGAGGACTAGAGTGAGGAAGTAGCTCCATTGTTTTTTTTCTAACAAGGCCCACATAGTAAACATTTTAGGCTTGTAGATGTGTCTGTCTCTGTTGTAATTACTCAACTCTACCACTGCAGCAAGAAAGCCACCACGGACAGTACGACAATGCAAAACCAGCCTCAGACGATACATGGATAGCCTGGCATGGCTATATTGACACAAATGGGCAGCAACCAGATTTGGACTATGGGCCAAACCCCAAGTTAGACTATATATTGTCTGGTAAAGAAAAGAAAAAAAAAGAAAATAAAAATAGATATAGAGACAAATAGGAAAATACAGCATCTGATTGAGACAGAGGTTTGGTGCTAAAAGTTACAAAAAATAAATAAATAAAAAGGTAGATAAAAGAGAATAAAAGTAAATGAGGAAATTCCCATCAGATCCTACTGAACATAGATGCCCAAATGTGAGGGGAAACTACATTTCAATGGCACACAGACAACGTAACAACATCCAAACTTAAAGAATGACAGAACCACCATTCCTATTGCCCTAACATTTTGTGCTATGAAAAATAAAAGTCATCACATCAAAACTATTAAAAAGGATAAAAGGAAAATCCAGATGCCTAGACAGTTTCTACTGTGGGACCACAGGTGGAGCTCCCCAAAATCCAGCAGAGTGGGAGAAAATGTGGCTGAGGAATGAGAAGCCCTCAATTAATTCTAAAATGTGGCTGAGGAATGAGAAGCCCTCAATTGTCTTCCCAGGTCAGACTCAGGGGAGGATTTTCCAGTCTTAATCTCAGAATTCAAAATAAATTAAATGAGATTAGTTTCTCTCTCTAGTTTTCTTTAGTTCATATATACTATTGTTTATAGTGCAGTCTTTCTTTCTCCAAGAACTCTATAGGATACAAACAATATGTTAAGTCAAGATAACTTTTCACTTATGTACAAAACCTCAGGCAGTCAGCATATTTTATTAAAATGTGAGCCCACATTGCTTTATTTCACCTCAGACTTACCGCCTGCTTGCACCAGGAACAGCTGATAGCCACAATCTCTTTACTGTGGAAGGAGAACTTTTGCTGGAAGCCCTGGGATATTAGGACAAGAGAGAGAATTTAAAACCACCTCAATCACAGCACATATTTGTCCTCCTGAAGTTCAATGAAGTAAATAAGACCAGAATTGTCACCTGTCACAAAAGGTAAATAGAATTGCAAATGACACATTCAACACTATGCTCCACTTTCTGCCATGTAACAGTTTTCTATTCCTGAACTGCCTGAAGTATGCAAGAAAGAAGGCACTTATATTTCTTTCCACTAACAACTCAGTCACTCAAATTTAAAAAAGAGCTTTTTAAAAACAAAAGAGAAATGTAGTCCTGATGTTTTTATTAGAATCAAAGAAAAAACCACTATTGGTTCATGTGGTCCTATATTAAAATGGTCACTCATCTCAAAGACTCTATACCAGTGGTCTCCAACCTTCCCAGCACCAGGGACCAGCCTCTCCATGGAAGTGGGAGAGCCAGGTCCCAGGATGACCCAAGCACATCACATGCACTGTGCACCCCATTTCCACCACCACCACCTTGCAATATGAATGAAACAATCACCCAACAGTGGGGTTTGCGCTCCCATGAGAATCCATCCCATCACTGATCCAGCAGGAGACAGAGCTCAGACAGCAATGGGAGCAATGGGGAGCAGCTGCAAACACAGATGAAGCTTCTACTGCTCACTCACTGTTCATCCCCTGCTGTGTGGACAGGGATAGGAGTGCCAGCAGGCCATGGACTGCCACCACCCCACAGTCTAAGGGTTGGAATCCCTGCTCTATACAACTATAACATCTGAGAACCCAGAAAGGGAAAACATTAAAATCAGTATCAGTACAGATCTGGGAGAACTCCAAGGCTGTACTAAAAATTTGGGCATTTTTATCATCCCTTTGGGATGTCTGCACTCAAAATAAGCAGCTTTTAATTTTTATTCTTCATCAGCAAACGGTGAGATCAACCAAATGGCAAACACAATCCTCTTAAATGAACAAACAGAATTACTTTTCCATCAAGAAGGAAGAGGTGTTTTTTGCCTGCTGCTGTCCCTAAATAGTTATTAGGAAGAAGCAAGCAACAATGCTCAAGGAAGTTTTTAACCATCCCAAGGCTCATCTACTTGTCTGTGCCTGAGAAATCTAAACCCAAACAAACAAATGCAAACATTATGACCAAAGGGGAAAAAAAAAAAAACTAAGCTTTTTTTTTAACCAAGGCTTTTATAGGGTAGTCAGAAGAAAACAGAGGTGCTGAGCAGGAAAGTTATTTAAGGAACTGGCTGGCTAAGTCTTGTTTAATGTGTATGGATAATTTTAAGTTAAAAATCAATTCACATATTATCAAACAAGGTCCAATGGCATTTTGCAGGGCCTTCCCTCTCTTAGTTTCTGAATATGCCATCCCACTTCTCCTTCTAATTAACCAGTCCCCTACATGCACTCATGAGCCCAAAAGTGTTTTCTGTCGTCTGCTCTGTGATTCCTCCTCTGACCCTCAATGTCACTTTTAGGAACATGACTTCTTCCTAACATTAGATTCCTAGAGTTTGAACATTTTCTCCATCAGTACCCTTTCTCAACCACCTAAATGATATTTCCATCCCCATGCAGAAGAGAGTGCACAGAAGACAGTGCACAGAGCAAGCCCAAAGTCCCTATCTTTAGAAAGGCTCCTTCCAAGATTGACCCTTGGTTGGCCTCCGGGAACCCAAATTTTGAGAGAACTTCCCTAATTCCCAGAGCAGTTAAGAGAGGCTCCCTCAGTCTAAACTGCATAAATGATGTAGTGTATCCTGACTACCTGCTTTCAATGTGGGTACCTAGAATTTGGTATTTGTTTCATGCAAGGGTATGTGCTCTACTTCAAAGAAAAGCTAGAAAGAGATGTCGAAGCTGAGAATCATTCTTAGCTCTTCTTACTGGCTGAGTAACATTAGGTACATCACTTAACTCTAACTTCTCTGTTTACCTGAAAATGGGAATGATATTACAAACTTCTGCTACACCACTAACTGAACATAAGCACCAAATGAGACAAAATATTTGAAAGTCTTTTTAACACTATGTGTGTGTGTGTGTGTGTGTGTGTGCATGTGTGTGCGCACATGTGAATGTGCATGTGTGTACTTATATTGCTCCGATCTAGCAACAGATATCTGTTCTACCACCTCACTGAGATAGTCTTAAGGTGTTTTATATGTGACTTAGCAAGCAATATTCTACCCAATAGTATAGGATGCGTGCACTCAGCCCCACCCTCTAGGGGATGCTGGCCTTCTGGCTTTCAGGAAAACAGACACAGTCCACTGTGGTACTGGCAGCCAGGCTGATACCAGAACCAAACAACAAGGCCAATCACAGCTGGGGCACTGGTTGCCCTGCTTAAGCAGAACTTCTTTGGAAATATGTCTAGGGCTAATCAGTTCTGTGCTTTGTTTTGGGTTCTAGTCTGACAGAGTCATGGTGACCACGGCTCAGGGTTATCAGCTAACACTGACATAAACACTGAGCATCGGACCTGGAGCCTTCGTGGACCAAGTTCCCACAGACCACCTGCTATGGAAAGATTTTTGGCCAGACTCTCAGCACAGCAAAAAGAACCAGATTCCTAATTACCCACATTAAAATACTGGCTCAAATCAGCTATTATGGCACTGACAGATGCCCTGACATAATTTCTAACGACTCGATGGTTTTTAAGGGCTATATTGTTCAGCGTTATCAAAGAGGAAAATGAGGATGGAAGGCCAGACGCTTTAGACCAAACTGCATTCAGAATGAAAAATACTAACAACTTTGAAGGATAAGGTTATCTTGAGTTTTTTTTTTTTTTTTCAATAAAATTGAGACTTTGGAATACAGTTTAAACAAAATTTATTTTGGGTAACTAAAGCTTTGTCACTTTTTTTTTCTTCTGTAGCCTAGGGCATGAACCAAATGTCACTGTTTTATGGACTTGGCTGAAGTCTGTAAAAAAAAAAAAAAAAAAAAAAAAAAGGGAGGACTTGCCTTCAAATGAGCTGAAATTATTTTATCATTTCTATATTTAACTGAGGTTTGGGATGAGAAGATCTCCTGCTCATAGGCTGATTTCTTACTTGATTTTATCTAACACAGGAGTTGATACTTCTCTTGCCACCAAAATGTTGAACAATAACAAGCAATAAGCCTTTCCATAGCTGCTAGACTATCCAAGGCTCATAATGTATTACAAAGGGCAATTATAAAAAGGAATAATAAAAGAAGACTAAGTCACTTTATCTCCATTAATACTTACTTGAATGCAGAACTTAATGCAAAACTTCAAACAGTTTTGCTCAAATAATCTATGATTTTTGAAAAAGAAAAAAATACTATTTTATGCACTTGATATTTCATCTCTAAAAGGTTTATCATAAGTTTACTTGATGCGAAATTCATAATTTCTAGCAAAATAAGGTTGAAAATAAAATAAAACTGTTATATACTCAGATCGGTTGCATGGGATATGAATATGATAGTGATTTGGAACTCACTAATGTAAAAGGAACTTTTTCCACTTTGAGCAGGATAGTGCTTGAACTGGGTGTGTTCTTTAACTTCAAAGATCACCAAACTGACATAGATTAACAACTGTGATGTGTGATTATCCCAACAGCTGAAGCCGAACTAAGACCTTCCAGAGATCCAGTAACAAAACCATAGCAACCTCACTGGAAACTCTGATCAATACAAAGTGGCAATTGTTTGAATCTTCTGTCTTCTAATCTTATCGTTGCACTATTCTGTCTTACCCAGAATACAATCTTTAATCTTTAATTAGTAATGCCACCATTAGCTAACCACTCTTCCTAATATTGGGTTGTTGGAAAAGTCATGACATATTTTTTTCTGTTTTTCTATGCAAAAATGACTTTTCCAACAACCCTATGCACAAATCCTTGACTTTGCCCCTTAACAAACTAGTCAGTTCAGTTTTACACGAATGCTGTGCCCTGGACTGGTAAGGTGAATCCTTAAAAATTACACTAGTTTTATAATATCCATATCCTAGTTTTCTCACAGTATAGAAAAGTTAGTACCATACTCTAGTTTTTGTAAGATTAGAGTTCATATACTCATAGAAAACCTAATTTATCTGAATTTCCTAAGTTTCCTATACTGATTTTACTAATATTAAATTAAAATGACTGTAAACCTTTAAGAGTTTCAAAACATAAACTTATGTGTTCATCTAAATTAAATGATAATAAATGATATTTTTATAAGTTGTACCATTATAAGGAATGTCTATAACTTTTGACAGTCCTACACATTAGTTGATTTACAGTTACTTTATTAGAATCAGTTTTGAAAAAAAAATCTAAATTTTTAGCCCATTTAGGTTTGATTACAATAGACTTTATGGCATTAATTAAAGGCTCTGAAAATGTGTTGGTGCCCTTACTGTCCACACTACGCTCTTGCTCCAGGGGAATCATTGACTCACACTCATAGACTGACATTTTATTATTCCTCAATAGAGCATTTCAAATTCCTCCATTCTAATGTTGTTGGTAATTACAATATGTTAATGAGAGGCAGTCAGCCTTATCATCCTTGGATAGTTTCTGCTTTTTGCATCATTTATTTGAAGGTTCTTGCTTCAAGCTACAGATCACAAATAGAGCCTTCTGGAGGGAAAAATTTAAAAACATTCAGGGCACAGGATGCTCTAAGTTAACAGCTATCACAAACATGTAGACTATCTGAAGAGACTGAGAGATGATCTCCAGGACTTTTTCACTTTAGAAAAGAATGACTTCATGGAATTAGATGGCTTGATCCAGGACCTTGGAAGTAAGACAGACCTCTATATTGATGGTTACTGATTTGCATTTTAATTTAACATGCTAACTACTTTTAGCTCTCCTTATATTTCATATTTTTATGACCATCCTGATTCTAGAACAAAAATGCTTTACAGAGATAATGTTATACTCAATAAGGCCAAATTATACATAACCCTTTCATTGCTGGATTGATATCTTCGTCCTTGAATACCAGGGAGGTTCCTTACATGCACATATCGTTCTAAGGATGTGACTGGCTACAATTATAATGTTCATTTACTAAAATCAACGCCTATCTTTGATAGGCTAATAATTAGCAGTTTGTCAGTAACAATTATCATTTTAGTGCTCATATTATTCATCAAGCTAGTTGTTTATGGGGAGGGAATTTTTTTAATTAAATCATTTTTTTAAACTTCTTTAATGGAATTGATGTTAACATAGTTAACAAGATATCATGACAGTTTTCCAGTGAAGCCGTATAATATGTAATCTTGTCAATGCTATGACATTACAGGAAGTAACTAAAGTAACTGGATGTACTATTCGCCCTTAACTAACTGGTTGAGATAAATATTCTTTTGCAGGTAAAACAAACTGTACTTTCTTTTTGTGTAAACTTAGTCTATTTTGATATATTAGCCTTAGCGAACAGAGAGACTCAGATAATTTGCCAAAATTGCTCAGATTATGTTCCTTCTGGCTTCACAAATGTATGTCAAGGTAATAGTTTCATGTAGCAAATTACTTGGAAGGAGAAAGGTGTCTGCTCTCTAGAAACAGTTTTTATTTCACTTTGGGGTTTGACTACATTTACTCTTCCCAGTAGTATCACAAATGACCACATGGTATTTTCACACAAATGTGCACTGTTAAGGAAGATGAAGACGCTTCTAAGAGGAAAAAGAACTACATTTAGAAATCATTTAGCTGGAGGACCTAACTACTGTGTACTATTAGGAATGAA